GCAATGCTCAACTACATGCACGAATTTAATTACAAGACCTTTAGAGTTATATGGATACATACTTGAAAAAGCAATGCACGTTGATGTTTATTTGTTTGTCAGGCATATTTGGGACATATGCGACAATTAATTGCTATCATCTTAAAGCTTCCTTATTATTTGTCTAGCTTTTGAAAGAAAAACACCAACCGTGAATATAATTAGAGACACTTACAACTAAAGAGGTCGGAGTCGCTAGATGTCAGAAGGACGATTAGTAGGGAAATGGCCACCAAAGTTTGGAGACTCCCAAAGTTTGAGAGTCCTCGAAAATGCAAAGTTTAATTTTTTTCCCCTTTGACGACAGTTTTTCAATACAATTCCGAAAGAAATGTCTTTTTGAATGAGTATGCGTTGAGCCAAAACAGTAAAAAAACAACAACTGCCCAACAGGTGGAAAGTTGTCGATTTCTCTCTGTGTTTCCAGTGTTTTAACGAATGCTTGATTCCAACACGATGTTCATTTAAAATCTTGCAGGTTTGCCTCTGTTACAGTGCATGTGCTGTAACGGTTAGGAGCGCTGCGCTGTCGAGGGCAGAAGACCTGAGTTCGATTCCCGTAATATGGGGAGAATCTCTTATATTTCTAGGCCTTTCTGAAAGAAAGTTGTATCCCTCTAAGTCTTGGTTAACCCTAGCAACGTAGAAACCCGTCTCCTGAATGATCTAACTAGTGTGGTCGATGGAGGAGTAAAAACATCATCATTTTAAAGAAAATCAATATAGTGTCTTTTTACTGTGCTACATGAGTATCTTATTCGTGACACGACGTGGCGGAATCAGTCGCTCGACAATTTATTGTTATCATCCCCATTAAAGCTTGAACATTTGTCTTTGCAACTGATTAAAAAATACCCATCTATCTTAAATAGAAGTCGAGATATTTACGACTGAAGGAGGAGGAGTCAGCTGGTGTCAGAAGTACAATTTAGCAAGAAAATGACGGCCAAAGTTTGGCGATTTCCCAAGCTTGAGTGTAATTAAAATCTGTTGGGGTTTTTTTTAAGCAATTGTACCTAAGGTTTGTATTTTTTCTTGCTTTTTTAAATATTAAACTTTAGAATTTGAATTTCGACAAAATAGGTGGGGCATCGTGGTGAAATCGGGCGCTCTTCAGCATAATAAAGAAAAATGGATTTTCTCACAGGTTTGGTTATTTTAATCTAAATTTTGTTCTTTGGCTTAACACCTTTAATGGTCATATGAAAACACTTTTCCTCCTGAATCTTAACGAGAACCCTTCATTTAAGGCACAAAATATGTAATTTAATCAGTTTTCAAGGACTCTCAAACTATTGAAACTACCGAACTTTGGCGACCAATTTTTCGCAAATTTTAACACAGAAACCAAATGACCCCACCTCCTTCGATTGGAAATGTATCGAATTCTATTCAAGATAAATGGTTGTATTTTTCATTGAAACTGCATTAGGGTTTAGACAATACCAGTAACTCTTCAAGATCAAAAGTTGACGAGTGCCTGATTCTACCTCGGCGTGACACCTATGTCTTTAAAATAGGCTGCCGATACCATAAATTAGGAAACTGCAATCCCATCTTTTGATAAATATTGTGCTTAGTGCATCTTACAGCTGATTGAAGTTTATTATTTACTTTTCCTATTTAAACACAATGCCAACAAACGGGCCGACAACATAAAAACAAACAAACTGACTCAACAAATTACGTCTGCTTTCAGTTGATGTGTACGTTTAAAGGGGGGTGTGTGTGTTGGGTAAGGCTATCTCGCATATTATTTGACCGAATTTTACTAAATTTCATATATGTAACAAGCATAGTAAGGAGTCTTAAAATCCACAATCAAATTTGAGACAAAAAGTTTCGTTTCCATGGATACGGCGGCCATATTGGATTTTGTTGAAATGTCTTACGTAATGAATAATACCCCATTTATTGCTCAGGGAAATTGATTGTTTTTTAGCATGCGTGTTAGATCATTAGATCCAAAAATTTGTCTGCTGTTTTTTTCCTAAGCGAATTAAAACATTTTAATTAATTTTTTTCTGACGTACCATTCAAGTTTGCAAAAAAACTCGTGAAAATCCACACTCCAGACACCAACAAAAAAAAATCTATTTCATATATAAAAAATTCAACAGATAGATGTTTAGTTATACATCTTTTCTTCATTCTGTGAAAATTTCATGAAGATTGGGTGAAAAATGGTGGAGTTATTCAAAAAAGTATAGAGGAAAGTCGCGTTTCGAGAAAACCGCTGATAAAGAAAAAGAAAATATTGACTTTATGAGGAAATGGTGGCGATAAACATGCCTGGTATGGGGAAAAATACGCTTTTGGGGGGTTCTTACGCAATGAAATAGTTGTAAAAGAGGCTGAGGAAGCTAAAAATGCCTACAACCCAAATTCCATAATTTGGAGCCGAATCGGGGCTTTGGGGGTGTAGCCCCCCCCTCCCCCCCTTTAAATCCTGTTTTCTCTG